ATTAGGAGTGACTTTCTCTCCATTCTTCTGATTTGGAAGACGTGTCAGTTAATCCTTCCTTTTTATTATCTTATTTATTAAGCGTGAAGGAGGGGAATTAAATATGCAAATGAATGTTCATGTATGCAAGTAGACAGTCGTTGAATAAAGAAGAAGATTTCATTCATTCAATAGAAGGTGTACATTCCCCTATTCCATACTACGAAGCACCTTTTGGCAAAAACGGAAAACCTTAAAGAAACCCACAGGCGGGTCTTGATCTCTCTGTAGTTCTCTTTCGGCTTCTTGGACGTGACGAGCAAGTGCTTCGCTTTGTTTTCGGACCGCCTGGCTCATATCTTCACTATACTTCTGAGCCTCTTTGATCTTCGCCTCTTGATGAACGACCAAGGCTCGTAGTTCATCGAGCTTCGCAACGGCTCGGTCTTTCTCTTGCAGTACCTGGCCGTACCGAGCTAGCCCGTCTTTTTCTTTGCAGCGTAGCTCAGGGAGACTTCTGTTGAGTCTCTGGTTGGCCTCTCGCTCTTGGCGTATGTCTAACCGAGTCTTGGTGAGCTCTTGAGACAACTCCTTGATCGTTTGAGCCTGTTTTGCTGATTCGGCCTCAAGGTGTGCAGTCTTGGCGGTCATTTCTTGGCGTTGGCTATCCGAACTGGTTCTGACAGTTTTGGATGCTCGGATAGCTTGTTCATTAGAGTCAGCACATTGATCCTTGAGGCGCTCTATTTCATGATCCTTTTTCTTGCCCTGCCTTTGCAGACCGTCTATTGTGAGGATAGATTCTTGTTCTCTTTCTTCAAGAGCCCTCATCTGGGCTCCCATGATTTCTATCCTCTAGGTCAAGGCATTTGAGCCTGCATCTCTTCATTATTGGCGCTCGTAATGGGTGTGGTGGATGGTTGAGCCATCCCTCTTCTTTTTCTCCACGCCTCGTAGTCATTGGTGACCGTCACCCGAGCTTTTCCTAGCTCTCTATCTCCCATGTAGACTGGTCTCTCCCATGCTTTTCTCACAGCTAGTGAGTTGGCGATTGTGCATGGGTCTCCAAAGAAACATAGTCCTCCGAGTTCCCCCCGAGAAATGGTAGTTTGGGTCCTCATGAGCTGTCTCATAGCTACTCTGGGTGAATAGGCTATGCAACCCCTGAGTCCTATCAAGGGTACGTTCGGGTAGTCTCCACATCTGATGAGAATTGGGCTAGGTCAGAACCAAGGGCAAACCCAGGACAAACTGTTGGCGTCCTTTCGTTCCAACTCGTCCCTCCATTCTGAAGTTAAGCGTCGTTGGAGAGGGATTTTGGAGAAGCCTTTTAAAGGGTCGGGGAACATCCCCATGTGTCTAGAGGCGTACAGGTGCGTGACGCTCCACACAAATAGTAATGAAGAGCAGCAACGAAGTGTTTTTCCTTGCTTCTGGTGGCAGAATTCCACCGAGAGCAAGGTGTCGGCAAGGATTGCAGGCAGGAGACTTTTTGAGTTTATGTCCCAGGCGAAGAAGGCGTCCATGACGGCTTGATCTACTGTGTCGAGGTGGAAGGGGAACAAGATCGTTCCAAAAATTATTAGTGTCAGGGTTTTGTTGAAGGCGACCCACTCTGCCCTTTCAGCCAAGTAGGACAGGTGGTCTTCCAACATCGAGACTTTCTAACCCTGGGTGTTCCCTTTTCCTATCAGGGTACTCTGCCGGAAAGGTAGTTGAATGAGGGCAGCGACTGGTGCTGCAGGAGTGTATGCCTCGTGGTGGATATGGACCCCGGCTGATTTGGGCCATCTTAACATAGTCTCATACTCCTCTAAGGTGGGCACTAGGTCGAACTGCGGAAATTCGAAGCACCGCAGACTGGAGTTCCAGAAATGTATCAATACCCTGAGGAACACCTAATCGACACAGATCTTCAGTAGGTCCAAAATCCGTCCATAGGATTTTTCAAAGTCGGCGCGGACCTCTGGTGGCATTGCCGCGCTGAGCCGTTCCAACTTCTCAGTATGGTAACGGGGAATATCCACCTTCTTTAACTGTCTACTAGTCCCCTCCATTTTCTAAAACCAAAATGCATGTTTTATGAAAATGATGCTTATTTGAATGAATGTGAGTGTTTATTTTCCTATTTATCATGTTTTTCTACGTGATGTATGGTAATTGCGAATTTTTTCTTTGAAGAATAAACTATCTACATGAATGTTTTATGAGTATAACATTTTTGGACCAGGTCTTATTTATGGTTTTGGAAACGAATTTTGATTTTGATTTTTATTTGATGTTTATTTGTTTATTTTATAGCCTTTTATCTCTTCTGTCGGAACTGCATATCTACTTAGCTTGCAAAGAACCTGAAACCAGGCTAGCTAAAAGGCAGACTGTCCGAGATAAAATGTGGCTTTATGCAAAAGAATATTTAGCGTCCCTTATCTCTTCTGTCGGAACTACGTGGCTACTTAGCTTACAAAGAACCTGAAACCAGGCTAGCTAAAAGGCAGACTGTCCGAGATAAGGGTGTTTATTTGGAAAAATGTTTTTTGTGATTTTTCTTTGTTGTTTGTTTATGCTATGCAACAGACAAATGCAGCAAACACATGTACACACAATTCGATCATCCACAAACAGGCGAGAATTCGTTTTTATCACGAGGTAGGGTTTTCCTGCAGAAAAGTGCATTGGCGAGGGTAGGTTCTAACTGTTCTCACCAGGCTAAGGCCCCCAAGGTGCCCCCATTATAGGGTCCCCACTCTCCAGCCTTCCGACCATGCTTAGCACTAAGGTCGTAGTCAGTCTTGTTGCCAAAAGAGGAAGGTTATCACCTTGAGTGGTGGTTTCTGATCACACCGGTGGGCACAAGGCCATCACTACAGCGAACCGTACCTGCCACCCACTCCCTATGGTTTTCTCACTTGCCCCCAGGTATAGAGGGAACTGTTGTGTGCAAGGGTTTGTGTACAATTTGTATTTCAAACAATTGCGGAAGTATAAACAAACATCAGTTATTTAAAGCCAAGCAATAAAACATGTTATAATACAAGGTAAGGGTAAAAGAATTATTTTCTTGGTTTATTTATTTTTTAAGCCGGCCCATCACTAAATGGGATCAACTCTCGAGGCTTCCCCAGCGGAGTCGCCATCTGTCGCCGCCGTCAAAACGAGGGCGGTCGGAGCGACGTGATGGTTTCGACCCTCTTGTTTTCGCGTTTTTTTGTTGGTGGTTACAACGCCTTTAGGTTGTCCGATAACCAGGCTGAACCTAGGGGCGAGGTTTTTGAAAAGGCGCTCTTGGATTGTCCGATAACTGGGCTAATCCAAAAGCTAGTTATGAAAGGGTTCTGCGGAGTCGCCACCGATGTTTTTACCGGAAACATCGGAAAAGGGATTAAAAGGCGTTGGTTTTCGAAAAACCAACTTTGGTCGTTAGAACCAGAGTTGGGTAAGGGAGTTAGTTACGTGTAAAGGAAGTGTTAGTTCCTTTACGATGCCCCTTTCGGGTTCCCTATGACAGGCCAGCTATTTTATTGATAAATAAACCGGAAAATATGCTTTTACCCTTTTATTTGCGGAATTAAAATATTATGACTACATGGCCCTATCTATTGCGTAATTTAAATAAAGTGGTAGAAAGGTGAGGGAGAGAGTAGAAACCTTTGAAGCAAGCTTTCTATTTAATTTCTCAACAAATTGGGTGCGTTTTGGCAGCCCTTCACTCTACACAGCGTCAAAAGTCTCTCAAACGCTCAAGAACACTCTAAGAAGCGCTCAGAAACTCCGAAAATGCTTCGGAGGGGTTCTAGAGAGAGAAATTCTAGAGAGAAGGAGGAGAGAACTCTGTGTGGTGTGTGGAAATGAGGGGATGGAGGCCCCTATTTATAGTTTTTCGCGCTTGACAGGTCGAGACCGCTGTTCTCGTCTGACAGGGTCGAGACCGCCGTCTCGACCTTCACAGGTGGCTAGATCGCCGTCTGGGAAAGCGAGACCGCCATCTCGCCATTCGCAGGTGGCGAGACCGCCGTCTCGTTTGGCGAGACGGCGGTCTCGATTTCGAGACGGCGGTCTCGTCCCCAAAAAGGTGAGAAACCTTATTTTTGTGCCAAAAATCCCTCCTATCCTAGTATGGGGCCTAATAGTCTCTCCTAGTAGCTTGTTAGGCTTCGTCCATTTTCGAATAGGAGGTCTTCTACTCTTTATTTGGAGGTCGGGCAAGATTCGGGGTCTACAGGGACCATGACCCTTTAAATAACCAGAATTAGGTTAATTACTTAAGTTTTAGTATTTCCAATTTGGCCCCTCATCAAATTAGAAATTACTCTATTGTCTCTACACAATTTTATTTTCATGACATATGCCTTTAGCCAAAACTTTAATTTAGTTAGATCACTTTATTATTTGACTTAATAAATAATGGTCCTAACACATTTTGATTATGTATCATATATATACATGACCCAAAATTTGCTAACACAACTTCTATTTGATATCAACAAAGAAAACAATACAAAGATACGTAGCATTGAATCAGGAAAAGTTATATTAAAAGAAAGTTTTCGTCATAAAAAGGTACTTCTTATACTTGATTATGTAAATAAATTACAACAATTAAATGTTTTGTGTGGAAGTCGTGAATGGTCGATTCAGGGAGTAGAATAATCATCACAACCAGAGATATACATATACTCAGAGGGAAAAGAGTTGATCAAGTGTTCACAATGAGAGGAATGAATGTAGATGAATCTATTGAGCTTTTTAGTTGGCATGCATTCAAGCAAGCAAGTCCCAAAGAAGATTTTATTGAACTTTCAAGGAATGTAGTTACTTATTCTGGGGGATTGCCACTAGCTCTTGAAGTCCTTGGGTCCTATTTGTTTGATATGCAGGTAAGAGAGTGGAAGAATGTATTGGAAAAACTCAAGAAAATTCCCAATGATGAAATTCAGGAGAAGTTAAAAATAAGCTATGATGGTTTAAGTGATGATACAGAGAAAGGAATATTCCTTGATATAACATGTTTCTTTATAGGAATGGACCGAAATGATGTTATCCATATATTAAATGGTTGTGGACTTTTCCCAGAGAATGGAATACATGTCTTGGTAGAGCGAAGTCTTGTAACTATAGATGATAAGAGCAAACTTGGAATGCATGATTTGCTAAGAGACATGGGAAGAGAAGTTATTCGTTCAAAATCACCAATGGAGCTTGAGGAGCGTAGTAGGTTATGGTTTCATGAAGATGTGCTTGATGTGTTATCAAAGGAAACTGTAAGACCTTCATTTATTATTTTAGTATTTAAAATGTCTAAAGCTAATGGAAATTGACGTATACATTTATTCGTTGTTCATTAACCCTCATTTTTACAATTGATTGTCACAGATTTTGAAAGTTAGTTTGGTTATAAACTGTTTTTTTCTCTTAAGCTCCTGGAATAAATGAAGGTTGTTTTTTTTTACCCAGGTTTTAACTACCATATATCTTTAGCTATGCATATTTCACTGTTCATTTTCTCTGATAGGGAACAAAATTTATTAAGGGATTGACTTTGAAGTTACCAATAAGTAATGCAAAATCTTTAAGCACTAAAACTTTTATGAACGTGAAGAAACTCAGGTTGCTTCAACTTTCTGGTGTAGAACTTGTTGGAGATTTTGAATATTTTTCCAAAGATCTTAAATGGCTTTGTTGGCATGGATTTCCTTTTGCCTTCATACCACCAAGCTTTTATCAAGGAAGTCTAGTTTCTATGGAGTTAGACAACAGTAAGATTACAATGGTGTGGAAAGAGACCCAGGTATTAATTTAGTTTTTTGAATTTCACGCGTTGTTTTTTCTCTTCTTTATGGATGCAATTTAAATTGTCTCAAATGTTAATACTAGTTTTCTACATGGTGCATTTAGACCAGAATTTCATCAATGAATTTTTCGGTCTTTCTTATATTGCAAGTGCTTTCAACAAAAAGTTGAAGTTGAAATAAAATGAACTTTTACATATTCATACTTCTAATACAAGCTCTAATATCCCGTTTATATAAAACAAGTAATCCTAAAATAGGAAATATATAAACAATTTAAAGATGATAAATATCCAGATAAAAAGAGATATATTTTCATATTCTAAAATATTTACTGTATTCACACAAATCTATTTGTAGGAATTATCTTGGTGAACACAAGTGTTGATTGAAGTCTTGTAGGAGTAATTACAAGACCTCTGTCAATTTATGAATTATTTTGCTAATATCTATGTGTTTTGTTTTGTCATGTTGGATTGGATCGGATAGAAAACGTTAAAATAACTAAATTGTTATGACAAAAAACCTTATAGATCCACAAGGTCATCAAGAAAAATCTTCATCCATAACTCCTCATCACATATATTAGGTGTCATAGCTTGAAATTATATATTTTTTACACTAAATCGAGCAACTATATTATGTTTGTTGCTCTTCCATTTTACTAAGTTTCATCTCACATACATGTAGTCAAAGGTGAACCTTCTATCTATAACTAATTTACCTAATTAGCATGGTATAGCTTCAAGGACAATGTACCACCTATATGTTGATCATCAATTCTTTCCTTAGATTTGTCTATTAACTAATATTGAAGAATTTAATTAATACTGAATAATATCTTCAAGTGTAATAACCATACCAAAAATTTTTGCTAAAAATTTTTGGAATCTACTATAGGTTAGGTAAAACTATTCTCACCACACAAAACAAAAATTTTGTAACACAAATAAGTTTCTTGAACACTAAAGATGAGAAGACAAAGGAATGAATGTCGCCGCCGTCAAAACGAGGCGGTCGGAGCGACGTGATGGTTTTGACTTTCCGTTTTTCGCGTTTTTTATTGGTGTGGTTACAACGCATTTAGGTTGTCCGATAACCAGGTTGAACCTAGAGGCGAGGTTTTTGAAAGGGCGCTCTTGGGTTGTCCGATAACCGGGCTAACCCAAGAACTAATTTTTGAAGGGTTCAACTGGAGTCGCCACCGATGTTTTTACCGGAAACATCGAAAAAGGAGTGAAAAGGCGTTGGTTTTCGAAAAACCAACTTTGGTCATTAGAACCAGAGTTGGGTAAGGGAGTTAGTTACGCGTAAAGGAAGTGTTAGTTCCTTTACGACGCCCCTTTCGGGTTCCCTATGATAGGCCAGCTATTTAAAAATAATTAAACCGGTGAAAACACGTTTTTACCCTTTTATTTGCGGAATTTTAAATTATGACTACATGGCCCTAATGTCTATTGCGTAATTTAAAATAAGGCAGTAAAAGATAGAGAGAGAAAGTATAAACCTCCGAAGCAAGCTTTTCTATTAATTCCTTGAGTACTAGGGTGCTTTTTGGCAGCCCCTCTACTCGTTACAATGCCGAAAACGCTCAAAAATGCTCTAGAAAACTCTCAGAAACTCCGGAAATGCTTCGGAGGGGGTCTAGAGAGAGAATTTGAAGAAAAGTCTAGAGAGAAGGAGGAAGAACTGTGGGAAATGAGGGGAATGAGACTCCTATTTATAGGGATTCGCGCCTGTCAGGTCGAGACGGGCTGTCTCGTCTGACAAGGTCGAGACGGCCGTCTCGCCTTGCAGGAATGGCGAGACGGCCGTCTCGCCAAACGAGACAGCGGTCTCGCCACCTTCACAAGGCGAGACAGCGGTCTCGAATCCGAGACGGCGGTCTCGACCCTAAAAGGTGAAAATCCTTATTTTCATGCCAAAAATCCCTCCTATCCTAATATGGGGCCTAATAGTCTCTCCTAGTGGCTTCTTAGGCTTCATCCATCTTCGAAAAGGAGGTCTTCTGGTCTTTATTATGAGGCCGGGCAAGATTTGGGGTCTACAGCTGCCCCCCCTTTACCCGACTAGTCGACTATTGGCCTGTTGTGCCAAGGAGATCGACTGGAGGGTAAAGGAGTTGACCCTCTTGCCCAATTGTCCTTCAGATGTTCCGTCTTTGTGGCGGTTGATCTTCTGGGGAAAGGTGTGCTTCCAGGATGGTTTTTCTGGCAGTAGCTGATCCCTTCGGCTAATGAGTATGAACTCTCATCCGGTTTGACGAGTATGAACTCTCGCCCGATAAGCCCTCTTTTGTAAGGCCCGATGAGTATACACCCCCATCTAGTGTTTGACGAGTATGAACCCCCATCTGGTAAGCCCCCTTTTGTAAGGCCTGATGAGTATACACCCCCATCTAGTGTTTGACGAGTATGAACCCCCGTCCAGTAAGCCCCCTTTTGTAAGGCCCGATGAGTATACACCCCCATCTGGTGTTAAGCCTCCGGATGCTCCTTCTTGCGGTAGCCGATCCTTCAGCTGTGGTGGCGGCTTACTGCTCTAGCTCATGCACCGATGTTGAGATGTGTTCTCTTGTCTTCTGAGGTTTGTCCGGTCTGTGCCGGGGATTTTGTTGGTGTTCATCCAGCTTGTTGATTGCTGGGGATTTTTGCTTGTGATCACCCAACTCTTGCTGGTTAGTCGGGTGGTTCTTGTTTGCTGCTCGACTCTTTGCTTGGTCGTCAAAAATTGTTGGTTGTTTTTTGGGGATACATAATTGACAAGGTCTTACCGGGGTACCCCTGAGTGCTTCCTATTTTAGCATGCAAGCATGAAGCCAATCTCTTTTTATATGAATGTCTTTTTGGTCTTTTATTTATCTGAAGTATATTTGTTTGTTTTGATTCTGACAAAGTCCTTTTCGTGCAACTACTTATGCGTGGATGCTTTTGATGCAATCTATTTTAGTTGGGGGCATCTAGAAAGTTACTGCTACTTTCTTTTTGCTCTCTCGCGACTTATTCTTTTGTTTTAGCCCTATCTTTTGCCTAGACCGCCCTTTGCAAGTTTTCTATCTAGCGGGCTTAATTCTTTCCTAAGATATTTCGGTGGTTTTTTTTTTCTTTTTATGAAGGCCTTAATTTTTGCCTAGACCGCCCTTTACAGGTTTTTGATCTAGCAGGCTATCCTGTATTTTTGCTTGGGACGGCCCTGGTCGGCGCTGTTTGTCTTGTTTTTCTTATGCTTTCTCATATTGCTTGTTTTATGCATGCTTATGTTTTGTTAATACAGAGGCATTCTTGTAAGTGGGTAAAGAGAAAAGAAGACAATTTTTATTGATATGAACAAATGATTTGTCTTTACAGGAGGATTTACAAAGGAATTTAGAAGCAGGGCTAGCCAAGGTTGGCTGAATTGTATAGGGTATAACAACCATGCCCATGATTTCTGTTTCTCTGCTTTTCCTGGTCGCTTCAATTGAGATGCTCGAGCTCGGAGTGAAGATCATGCGAGTTTTACTTGCTTCTGTGAAGGTACTACCCTAGTCGCCTTTGCGGTTTTCGACTAAAGTAATCATTTCTCTCTCTTTTTTTTTTTTGAACCTCTAACTTTTGCCTAGGACGTATCCTAGCGAGGAATGCAGACCCTATCTTTTGCCCAGGACGCTCTTTGTGAGTTTTCATCCTGACGGGTCATGAGCAATGTCTTCAGGCGTAGTATTTCTTTACTGTGTCTGAGTTGACAGGATGTCGAAGCTCTTCTCCGTCCATGTTGGTGAGGATGAGGGCTCCTCCTGAGAAGGCTCGCCTGACCACAAAGGGTCCTTCATAGTTTGTTGTCCATTTCCCAATTCTATCTTTCTGGGTTGGTAGCAGTTTCTTTATTACTAGATCCCCTTCTTGGAAGGTGCGGGGATTGACCTTCTTGTCGTAGGCTTTCTTGATCTTCTTTTGATAAACTTGGCCCCGACATATGGCGTCAAGTCGTTTTTCCTTGATTAGGTTCAGCTGATCGTATCGACTTTGGACCCATTCGGCTTCTGTCAACTTTGCTTCCATAACAACTCGTATGGAGGGTATTTCAACCTCTACTGGTAGTACGACCTCCATTCCGTATACGAGGGAAAATGGAGTAGCCCCTGTGGAGGTTCGTACCGACGTTCGGTAGCCGTGTAGGGCGAAGGGCAACATTTCGTGCCAATCTTTGTAGGTTACTACCATCTTTTGGATGATTTTCTTAATATTCTTATTGGCTGCCTCTACTGCACCGTTCATCTTTGGTCGGTACGGAGAAGAATTGTGGTGTTGAATTTTGAAGTCTTGACATAGTTCTTCCATCATCTTATTATTGAGATTGGTCCCATTATCAGTAATGAGCTTATGGGGAATGTCATACCGACATATAATATTTTTCTTGATGAAGGTGGTCACCACTTTCCGAGTCACGTGCGCATATGATGCTGCCTCAACCCATTTGGTGAAATAGTCAATGGCCACCAAAATAAAGCGATGGCCATTGGATGCTTTAGGCTCAATGGGTCCGATGACGTCCATGCCCCACATAGAGAATGGTCATGGTGTAGCCAGGGTACTGAGAGGTGCGGGCGGCACATGGATATTATCGGCGTAGATTTGGCAGTTGTGGCACTTTTTAGCATACTGGTGACAATCGGCTTCCATTGTGGACCAAAAATATCCTGCCCTCAAGATCTTCTTTGTCATGACATGCCCAGGTGCGTGAGTCCCAAAAGCTCCTTTGTGGATTTCTCTTATCAAGGTCTGAGCTTCTTCGTGGTCTACACACCTTAAGAGAGTGGAATTGAGACTCTTTTTGTAGAGGGTTCCTTCAATCAACGTGAACCCTACTGCCCTCTTACGGATGGTTCGCTTATCATTGTCATTGATTCCTTCTGGATATTCGCCCCTCATGATATATTGTTTAATGTCATGATACCAGGGATTTTG